ATAATAATGAAAATTTATATTTATATATATATGTAATCAAAAATTATATCAAAAATTATAAATAGTATTTAGTTAATATTATATAATTTTTATAAACCTAACTTTTATGGAATATCTTTGGTTTTTTGTGTAATAAAAATTCTGGCCACACACAATGCTTATCTCTAGTATTGTATTATTTATCAATATCACATGTAATATTTAAAAGCTCGCATTCTTCTAGTGTTGCTGATCTAAGCATATGCTTGGGAACAACTTTACAAATTATTCCAAGCGGTAATCTACCTTTGTACACGAAAAAATACGGAGGTCGTCTTGTTATATGCAATTTGCAACCAACAAAGCATGTAAGATTATTATATGGCATTAAACTTATAAAAATATGTATATTTTGTGCAATTTTGTGAAAATACAATTTAAATAAATCATGATTGCAGGATAAGAAGGCTGACTTAATTATAAATGGTAATGTTGATGAAATAATGGTCGCAGTCATGAAAAAGTTGGGATTGGAAATTCCAGAACATGAAAGCAGTATGGATTTGACACGAAATTCCGACACAACGGCTAAAGAAATGGACTGGACAATTCCGACTAGCAGAGTAAAAGAAATGAATGTGCTGTACAAAAAAGTGTGCAAGCCGATGCGAAGAAAACGGAAAACGTTTATGTACGAGAGGGAAAGAACAGATACTATAAAGGAGACTAAAGCCAGAAAGCAAGCATTTCCAGTTAAGCAAGAAATCAAATCAGAAGATAAAATAAGTACATCGAATGAAGTATGTAAAATCGAGAATGATCACGTGGTTAAAAATCCTGTTAAGATAGAAGAGAACGTAGAAGACGTTGAAACATATGGATATTCGATGGAAGACATAACAGAACATAACACTGATCTGGAAATGAACCAAACAGTGTAGCAAGTTGTAATGGAGCGATAATTTTCCATTCTAATGTTTCGATTATTCTCAGTGTACGCTACAGTTACTTATGAGTGCATATCGAATCATTCATTGTATGTGAGAAATATCCAAAAGTGGAATAGGTTTGCCAACATTCAATAGACATTTGAAACATATTTGTTGCATATTTAACGTTAAATGTAATATATATATTTAATATAATTTCCTCTTATTCTTCTTTCCTTTTATCGCTCTCTATCTTCTCTCTTCTTTCTCTCTCTCTTTCTCTCTTTTCTTGATTTCTTTAAAATTTTGTTTATATAGACATATATACAAAACAGATTTATTTAAGACAATATTCAAAATAAAATTATATCTACACGATATTAAAACTTGTATTCAAGAAGCAATAACAAATCTATGTGTCAAAAATAATATTTTGATTTGTGTAATTTTGCAAGTGCGTTCTGATCGTAAATGTAATACATTCATTTAATGTTAAATATGCAATGAGAATGTAAGTTCATAATTTTGTTTACAGAGAACATGTCATTTATGATAAATCGAAAATATTCCAATAACTGTATATACTCTTATTAGTATCCATAAAGTGTTGCGTTTGTGCTGCATCTGCTTTTTAAAACTCGCCTATATATTGACGCATATTAGATATGTATTACGGCGAGAGATTCGACGTGAATTAGTTAGATCTCTCGACGAGCAACGTGTTCCAGATTTCTCGTGCATAATATGATACTTTTTCCACTATAGATTACTAATAAGATAATTGGATAAAAGAGATCTTCCTATATAACATTTCGCCAGTAAGAACTTCCGTGAGCTTTTTTTTTAATTGAGAATAGATTCGAAGTAGTTGCCGAATGTAATAATAAAAATATTTCAGATATATATGAGCTGCTTAGTAAGTGAATAATTTATGCTCATTAATCATCAAAAATAATGTGTGTGTGTGTTTCAACTATATTTTTACATTATTTGCTGAAAAACTAGGAATCTTCATATATAATCTCTTTTTATTCCCTCTTAGATTTTTTTTCATTAATTACAGTAATTTTCAGCGATCACGATATATATATAAAACAATATATATCTTTATTAAAATCATTTTGAACGTTTTAGGTGGCTGAAAAAAAATAAATCCATTAAAATAAGAATGTAATAAATTGGCATTATGCATAAGTGATTGGATCATAATGAAATTTTGTTTCTGCTGGCGATATACTCCGTGTAACTTTCCTAAATATTGCTTACATACACACAGACATATTATTCCGTGCTCCGTGTGCGTTTAATCGTCCTTGATATTCAGATATGTTTGCCTTACAAAAATTGACAACGCACACGAGACCGATTTACGAATGCGCGTCATATTGTGTTATAACGCGCGTGTTTATGTGAGTAAAGTAAATATAGCACTATATTGCTGCAAGCTGATGTTAGATTAGCTGGTAAATTCAGATGTTGAATTTTTAACAGAGTGCGCCTTTTTCCATATAGTGTTGAAGGGAATGTTGAAAGTAAAAGTTTTAACGATATCTCGCAAGTTAGTACGCTAAACGATTTTCGCGTGTAGATGATATAAGCTGCAACGTATATAGAATGCATTCCGTGATAGAATGCAACATAGTGAATCATGTAATATTTATATTGTACATAGTGATGTTTGCTTCATTCTCATCGTAATACATGACTTTATTTAAGTAATCATTATTACTCGCCAGATATAATATTCGAAATAAAAAGTACATCTATGAAAAAGATTGTATAATGTGTGTCCCACAATATGTTGTCCAATTATATATTCCCTCCCTCCCTCTACATTCATCCATAAAAACCAAATGTATAATTTTTCACATTTTTCGGCATGAAAAAAATTATATAAAAATAATAAAATTATGTTATAAGATATTTAATACCAAAAGATGAATAATAATTTACATTTTTTTTTGTAATATACAATAAAAGAAGACTCATATTTATGCTACATGAGAATATTACGCGAGCGTACCATTATATAAAAATTAACAATTCCCTAGCTAGTATTTAATTAAGAATGTCTCTAGATTCGAAAATGAATTGTATGTATATAATTATAAAATTTATTATAGTAATTGTATGTGACAGACGGCGATAATATAGCAATATCCCGATAACAAATTGATAAATATTGATTACCGTTTCTAGCAAGACATCTATCGATACCTTCTACTTATCTTCTCCAGGAAAAATTTGGATTTATTGCAAGATTTTCATTGCAAGAAAATGCTAATTTGCCATACAAAAATAAATAATTATTTTAGTTTCTAATTCACATAATTATAATTATGTATTTATTTAAATTTAAAATACATATATTTTTTTCTTTATTATAGATATTAATATTCTCTCATTAATCACAAAATAAGTTTATATATATATATATATATATATATATGATTATACAATATATTAATTATAATTTTATGAAATAATCGTCATTTAAACATAAAACTCTCATTATACTTTTACGTTTTACTCAATTTTCAATTTTAATCTTAAAATTGTGACCATATATAGCGAATAGTTATATAATAGTTATATATCTTTCTATAAGATATTAGAGAATAAACCGTTAAAAGAAACGTGCCAGAATAACATGTATCAGAGGCCCTTAGTAATTCTTTATCTCTTTTTCATTCCTAAAAATATTTTTTTCCAATAACCAAAACATATGACCACTCTCTTGAGAAGTATCCCTACCCTCTCCCAGCCGTGCTATAAACGCATGAAAGCTCCTTTGTACTCTTCGGGACTCTTCCTTTGCAGTAGTAGTGAAGAGACAATCGTTGCACATCTACGTATGAGTGAGCGCTCGTTGCCTTCCACTGGCTGTAGAGATAGTGCGTACATCCAGCGTGTTGGATCCAGTTAAATTGGCGTTTTATCGTCTCAATCAATCGATTTTCATAAAAGTGAATAACTCGGAGATTAAAAGCATCGAGAGAGGATACACAGAATCTAGCATGGAGAATAAAAACAGCAGTGTCGCAAAAGGTATCTAATAACGTTGCACGTATATCGCATGAAGAACGTGCTTATTAACTTTAATCATAAATATATGCATCTTCAAATTTGTTGTGCGTCGTTTGTATTTGGTACAAATCATGGGATCAGTCGTTTTAATGTATCAACAAATTTCAGTGTTTTTTTTTTGTCTTTGTACATATGTGTCTAATACAGAAACTGCGTATGTGTGTGAAAGATTTATTTAGAAAATATCACCTAATGTGTAATTACATCAGATGCTTTGCATGTTAAATCATGACGTTGCAAATTGGAAGTGAACTTTTTTTTTTCTTGCACTACATGTGAAAACAAATTGATTTTTTTCATACATCGCGTACGTTCGATATTAGGGATTATATATATACATATATTGTTCATCAAGTGTCACCAAACAAAAAAATTTTAATTCTTATCTGCTTTATCGAAAGCATTCTATCGAAACGGAATGTAAAATAAAATAATTCTTTTATGGCATGCGAAATGGAAAATTTATTTTTCAGAAGACGCATTCTCTTTTTGTCAATTCTGTAGGAAAAATGTGACAGTTTAATATTCTTATATCGATTCAATTTCGCGTCTACGAATATTTTCCTTGATTAATGCTGTAATGGAGTAGTTTTGCTTTATATCGAGCGTCGCAATCGACGATGCTATGGCAATATTTCTTTTACTGCGGGATTGAAAGATTTAGCGCGTGTCGGCCAACATCAAACGATGTTGACAATAACGCTGCCCGGTGGCGGCACGTCAAACGTACACTGCGTGTCCCATGCGTCTCCAGTTATCGCGAATTGCTCATTTGCGCATGTGATAAACCTTTTATATTTTATATATACGATCGATTTTTCATTTCACATTGGTTCCTGTAAGAGCATTAGTTAGGCAAATTAACTTTGTCATTGCCGATAAAGTTATGCATAAACGCGCTTGTTACATTTATTTCGAATTAATAATATGTCAATTATTATATTATTCATAAATTATAATTAATAAATAGAAATAATAATTGCTTTATACAAGATTGTGGCTCATTATCAGTGTAATAATTTTGAGAATTGAGTTGAATTTTGTACTTGGAACTCAGTGCGTTATCATATGATAGAGTTACATTATTTCTTGCTGATCGCAACTCTGACGATTCAAAGAAACCAAATCGTCTATATTTAATAGCGATATATTTAACGTAATCTATTTTTTTTTTAAATGATAGATATTAATTTAATTATTTTTATCTTATCCCTATTTAATATATAATGTAAAATGTAAACTTAATAATATATAAATCCTTCACAGTGCACACGCGCAGCATCTGAGTGAATCGAATTGATGATGGATATGTTCCGCTCACACAGCTTAATCTAATCTCTAAGAATCGTATATATATATATATGTATATATATATCACTTTACAACTGGCTCACATTTCTTCTTTGTATGTGGTATCAGATTTATTTTCTGTAGACTTTGTTTTTTACTCGATCTTGTATTAGTTTCCTCGTAGTCAGCACATATTTGTTATATCTATCAATTTTTTCAGATGTTTTTACTGATATAGTATAGACTTTATAGCTTGTTCTCATATTGATCCTCTTGTAGCATATTTGTCATATATACCTCTCTAAGTATATCGATTTTCTTTTAGATGTTAAGATTTTTGCAGGCATATATTATATCAATGTACAATATATATAAATACATATACATATAATAAGCAATATTATATTAATGTTTAATTTATTTGATTTTAGATATGTAATGATATAATCTTGAAGTTTGTTCGGTTTTTTTCCATTTTATAATTTTTATTTTTTCTTATATTTTTCGTCTCTCTCTTTTCTTCTCTAGCCGTAATATAAAACAGTATTTCTCTCGGAAAAATTTTTATAAAATGTTGATATTCTCTCTCTTTAGCAAAAATTATATCATCTCTCATTTTCAATGATTAATATATATGCATTATTAAATAATTTGATGAGTTTTGTGTTAGATCCTATAGAACATTACAAAATTTTTTTAAGATTGAAAAATGACGATTAAAATTTATATTGATTATAATCTTTCTTTATCGTTATAAAATTTTTTGTGTTATTTTCTCTTATTGTTATATTCTATTTTACTGATACTATAAATAATATTAACATTGCAGAATCGGAGCACAAAGACCAATATACAGCCGGATTCTTAAAAAACGGGATAATACGGGGTATTACATATCAATTAAAAGTATTAACATGGGTCACATGGAAGATGTTGTCCAAGAAAGACGCAAGTAAATGGTGGTTGGGTACGGAAGTGGTCGATGCCCGAGGATTTCACGATCTAGTTTTGAAATATGTTAATAATGCGGTAGACGAAGATGGAAAAACGTCCGATAAAAGATACATGTATCGTTTCGTGCAAATCAAGCACATGACTCGTTTGACCGGGGGCCTCAAGATCTCCATTCCCCAACTATTGTCCGTGGAAAAGGAGTATTGTCAGTACAGTCTTATCTACTTGTTCAAATCTTATATGCATATAATCAACAAATTTGAGAAGATAATGCCGGATCAAATCGTGGACATGACGGTCTTCACAAACAGGGACATTAATACTTCGCTGGAATTTTTAGTACCTGTAAACAGGGATGAAATTTTTGGCTTCGAAGAAAAGGGCAAACGATATCGCTTCGACTTAGACGCACTGCGAAAAGCACCGAATTTGATAATAGAACGCTTGCGAATGATACCGCCGCGCGACGAAACGCATGTATGGAACTTCTTGGGCAAATTGGTATTCGCAGTTGGCCAACCCTCTGAACCCGAATTGGAGGAACTTATCGTCAAAGATATGGGCAAGGTTTTCAATATGCCACAGATTTTTTACAACGATCTGTTTAAAAACATAACGGACTGGTTTCTCATTCTCGAGAAAGACAGTGCGCCATATCTCACCGAAGAATATATAAAGAAGCATCTGAAGAAGATGGAAGATATGCTGTTGGCTCAAAAAAAGTCAAATACCTTTTTTATTGACGATTCACTTTCTTTCTCAAAATTGTCGTTAACATAAAAGAAAATTTTGTAGTTCTCTTTTCGTAAACTTTTATGTTTCTTCTTGCGAATATACGATATAAAGTTTCTTTTATTTTTTGTCTTCAAGAAAGAGAGAGAAAGAGAGTAAAACGCGAAAGTATATATAATTTTTTTTTTTATATTTTTATTTTATTTTCTTATAATATCTTAAATTTAAGATTTATTTTATTTAAGTTAAATTTAAGATTTTTAATTCTTTTTTACTACGATAAAAGATTCTTATATATAGGATAAAATAAGAATGATGTTTATGATATCATATTTATTCATTATCTGTGTCTCATATTAATCTTATTTTTAATGTCATGATTTGGTTTTCCAAATGCTATTGATTAAGTATAAATAAACGATATCATGAATTAAATATCTATTATTACTAAAGATTAGATTTAGTAACACTATTTCCATATAAATATACGATATCATAAATTAAATATCTATTAGACATTAGATTGAGTAATTCTATTTCCATTCTTGCCGATGTGATATCTCTTTGGAAAATAATTCAAAATTTTACGCACATAATTAAGTTTACTGAAAAAGCTAGAAAATATATTGTCTAATATAAATTGCGTTATTACTTTTTTTTTTTTGTTAAAGACACAATATATTTTTATAAATTTTTTTTAGGATTCAGTTAAATGGCTTTATAGTTAAACTATAAATTCAGTTACAAAATGTTTATTCCGAGTTTTTATATACCAAGAAAGAAATATTTGTTTCTAGATTATTCTAGACGAACTATAAATTATCTAATTTTTTAATATATGTAAGACAAATAATAGATCAGATAAAAATAAATAATAATTACGCATATCGTTTAATTGCATGCTGTTTATTATTATTCTACGTTTAAATTAGAGAATACAACTTATCCATGTACACGTGCGCTACAATGATTACTTGATATCTTAGAGCTTTCGTAATAGTCAAGGAAAGTTACACTCGAAAAGATTCAAATGGATTCGTCCGCTTCGATAAATATAGCTTTCCTTCGTTCGCCTACAGCATACCTAGGATCTTAATTAATATATCGGCACGCTTGATGTGTTTATCGCAGGATATTTCTAAATTTAGTCCTTTTATATGTATATAAAAAAATTAGCTTTTTTTATAAACACTATAAAAAAAGACGGTTTATCAAAAGGCTGAATTTTTTTAATGCAAGGATTGAACTTGCAAACATCCTGCGACAGAGACGTCGTAAAGACAATGCGCCGCAAGACAAGATCAAGAATGATGTTGATAGACAATTATTCTCAATCTCGGTTTTGAACCTGGCTAAAACCGCATTATAACCATGTGTATAATTGTCTTTACTATAAAACAATACATGTTTAAGAATATGATGATGGAGGAAGAAGAAAAGAGGTTTAATCAAAGAGATGTGATGTAAGTAGAGACAGGAGGGGGATAAGATCGTGTAAAAGCATAAACGAATGACAAAGTGGAGTGGATGAAGATAAAAGGTGAAGGAGGAGGAAATACAAATCGTTTTCCTTTGGCCTAGTCAAATCCGCCATCTACTCATCCCGATCGCTCTAATATTATATAATCCAACTATCTACCTACGCCAATAATGAAATTAATAATTTGGTATAATTGTATCCGCGAAGGGATAATCCAACTATCTATATACATTAAGATCCTTATTAATCGAACGCGAATATTTAAATGATTTAATATAGTGACAAACTTTGCTATATTGCTTTGCACATTTCCACGTCTCGTTTATCTCTGTGAAAATTGCATTTCTCGCTCGTTTTCCATTGAAAATAAAAAGAATCGATACGATATATAGATCCGAGATGTCGCGATCCTTGAATGAACGAACGAGTTTCTTTACTACTAATATACGTAAAATCACTTTCATTTTGCTTTTTCTTATGTCAAACGTAGTCGGAAACATTTCCGCGGAATGTTCGAATCGAAACGTAGTATTCACCGACGAACATACACGCTAAATGCATTATAATAAAATGCTTACATGTATATATCAGTTAAATTCGCACTTAAATCTATTATTTTTCTCACTCTTGTAGAAACACATGACTAACAATAAATAAAATTATAGTGCATATGGCTAACTTAATTCTCATTGCGTGAACAATGAATTCTTTGGATTTAAATACAGTTTCGCCTTTCGCAGAATATGTTGCAGAATATTTGTAAACTTTGTTTTTTTTTACAAAAAAGTCTAGATGCTTTCTTATTCTTTTTTTTTTTTTTTTACAAGTATCCTGCCACAAATAATTGTATCATGAATATGAGAAAGTTGAAAACTTGCGTTCGCATCTCGCAATTACTGCCTAATACTGCGTGAACAAGGAATAAGAAATACAAACACAAATGTTATTTGCCGATTTCTAATGCACATTTCCTAATGTACATATACTAGTCATAACATTGCTGCTGATAAATTATTACTTTTGACGGAGTCTTTTTCGCGCTCGCGAAATCATGATACTATCCCGCGAATGATGCGATGTATAATCGTACAATCACATCGCGAAAATCTTAAATATATACGATCAAAATATATGATTCACATATATGTACAAAGGTATGCGGAGTCACACGAATGACGCGCTTCTCATAAGGAAAATGAAGACTCGAGGCGTTACGAAGGAACTTTTGTCAGAAGCGTGGATGCTACATCGTTATGCGCCGGTAAGATAGCAACCATGCGTATATGTATAACGTTTTAAATCATCGACGATTAAGTGACACGACTGTAGAATAGATAAATAATGCAGCGCAGGTACTTTTCAAAAGTAAAAAAAACGTGCGTAAGAATGATAGCAAATAATACATTTTACTGCGAATAATTAAGTATGTTCGGGAAATAAAGAAACAAAATAAGTGAATCTCTCAGAATAAATCGAAAGGAATTCGTTTCAGTAAAACTAGACATCTTTAAAATCGAGAAATCTTTAAGATAGAATCTCTTTAAAATTGAAAAGATTGATTTTTAAAAAATTATCTCTGTTATCATCATACAGTTTATACAATATTTTTTTAATTATAT